GCCTGTTCAGATTATGTCGTCTTTTTTACATTTTAATGTTACAGTTCTAGTAGCAACCATTTTTTTTTTGCACCAGTTCCGTATGGATCTGCGGCTCAAAACGGCCGCGATTTGAACGTGCGACCCCGCGGCGGCACTCAGACGAATGTGCATTAACCCATTTGCCTGTTAGTACTTTAAGCCGAAATTGCGGCGGCGCCCCGGCAGCGGTAATTATACTTTTTTTATTTTCTCTTGCGACATGCCCCTTTCAATGTCTTGGATGCGCGCTGGCAAAACCGTAGGTAGGGAAAAAAAAGCTTATTATACTCTCGACTCTTGTTCATTAAGTACCTGCCAAAAGTTTTGTTCAATCATGAATAGTAGTGCGGGTCGAAAACAAGCGTTAAAGCCTTAAATATGTCTTTAAATATAAATAAACATCTCGTTGATGTTTTCAGTAGTAAATGGTACCAATTACAGCACATTTGAGTAATGCAATTGTGGTGAATAAAATGATCAAGTTTTCCGCGCAGTACTGTAGGGATTAAACGCTCCTCACCTGTTAAGTGTTTGACCGAGAGTTGCCTCCTTCCTTTTCTGGCCCAGTGCTGTTCTTTTCTACTTTGCGCCAATCAAACTGAAGGTCACATCGCTATAAAAAGTAAACGATGTATACCGCAAGTGTGCACCGGGCGCTAAGTAAACCCTTCTCCTAGAAAATCTTAGATTACATATTACATGAGTCAAGCATAACGGAACTGGAATTGAAGATACCTATCAGTATCAAGCTTTATTTTATTTTAATTCATTCATTTCTACATGTTATTTTGAGAAAATTTATGCTAAACATTTTAACAAGTTTTATTGATTACTGAGCGTAATCCATGGGTTTTGTAATGTTTACTTTCATTTTAGGTAATTATACAAATTGTATGTTTTGCATCTTTCGATGTATACTTTTATCGATACGCTGCAATAACTGGACTGATTATTGCTCCATTGCCCGAATATTCCCTTGTAATATTATCTACTTGGTTGTATTTGTAAGTACAATAACCATCTTTTAACTAAAGCAATTACTTAATAGATACATTGCCACTCCAAAAGATTTAACATTTCAACAGCAACTGAATGTGTACTGCAATCCAATATTGAATATGGTAACTATTTATTTACTATGATACGAAGGACATTCCAACACTTTGTACCGGTTCCATCATTTTAAGGGAGATTGGAGATAACTTTTCAATATATTTTAATTTAGTTCGTGACTAATTCCAATCATTAAAGTGCTTCTATATACCTAAACGATAAAAAAATAGGTACATCGGTAAAACAAATTGTAGGTATGATTGCCGTAAGCGATTGTAAGCATTTTCAATTTTTCTTGCCCTACCGTTTTCCTAAATTTAGCGGTGTACTTATGAGGTCTGTTCAAAACATATCGCGATTTTTTTGTTTTTTCAGAAATTATTTATTCTTGAATATCTATTTTGGCTCCGTCATATTAACCCCACTAGATATTATACATTTATGCCAAAGTTTTCCAATCCTCGAAGCACTTCAAAAAATCATTTTTTGTGATCTTGTTCAGTGCCGTCATTATCTCCTCAATCATAGCGTAGCGTCGTCCTTTAATGGCCGTCTTCAGTTTCGGGAACAAGAAAAGTTACAGGGTGCGGAACACTGTGGCTGCGGCATTATTAGTGTACTGTTTTTGGCCAAAAATTCGCGCNATCTTATTCATACCAGTATTTTTGTTGTTTTACTGTTATTTATTTTTATACAATACCGTTTTGCCAATACCGCATCCATTTTATTTAATCCTATCCCTAACTGTTCCTTGGCTCCTTGGTAGATGCTAATACTGCTATATCATCTGCAAATCTAAGCATACTAATTCTTCGCTCCTGTATATCTATCCCTATAGTTGTCCTGTCTTCAATGATGTTGATCGCGTCTTCGATATGTAGAGTATAAACTCAAAAGTAACGGTGACAGTGTCCATCCTTGTCTAACTCTCTTTCTCATACATATTTACTCAAAACATATAAGTTTTACTTTTTATTGCCTACATCTGACTAGAAAACATTTGAATCTAAAGGTACTCTTTAATATTACAGTGGGACATAACTAGCTGCAGTTTTTTACCTTTCGTAGGAGTAGTGGCTCTCCTATTGGCTACTGCGTATTTTTTTATTATTATTCTGATGAAGAATTCGTATGAATTTTACATTATCTTCAGTGGTGTTGGAGCAGCTATATATTGCATGGTATTTAATTGCACTCTTTTATTTGCTTTTTATATTAAATTAATTTTGATTTTAGCTGCATATATTCATGATACAGATTATTATGGCTTACAAGAAATATCAGATAGGTGCAGAAGATTATCTACCGGTAATCGTATATTTTTACATTTTGGATGTTAGAAGATTTATCGGTGTTGATTGAATGTATTAATAAGTATTTTGAGATTTATAAATGGTTCATTTTGACTATGCTTTATTGCTGATTTACAAGAATGTGCAAAACAATTAGGTACTATCTTGACGCTGAATGATCTCTAAGCTTAATTAACTAATCTGCAATGTTTGCTTGATTATCTACGTATTTATTTAACAAACCAATATGTGTTATAAGATAATTATTTTTAAACTGCTTTATACTAACTGTTTTAGTTTACTTAAAACTGTAACACCAATATAACAAAGGGATGTTGAATCCGTTCACAATACTGTGTATTCTTAAGGCAAATTTTGCCTATCCACAGGTAATATAAATTCGACAATACATGAAAATGTTCGTCGCAGTTTATATGAATTATTTTTTACCTTAATTCTACGTAGTATGAAAGTACCCCATAATCTTCTTTTGTGTTCCCGCCTTTTTACTGCGTTTGCAAATACACAGTTTCGGTTGTACTTGACTTTTTGACATAATAATGTAATTGCTTACATCAATATATATACAGTGGTATTGGAAAACCTGTATGTTGCATGATATTTAGTTGATGGCGTATTGGATCGAACGAACTCGCCCCTTCTTACAGTAGTATTACTGCTCATAATTCCCGTAGGACAGACATGGTTCCAATAGTGATTTAAGATGATAAAGATCGCCTTTTGGTTCTTGTTATTATTATAAAATGTAGTTAGAATCTTTATACAACCAACTACACACGTTAATATAGGCATTTAAATTCGCTCAGTTCTTTGCAGTTGTTTAATTCCACCTCGAATACGTCAAAATTAGCGATTTTTAATTAATTTTTTTTACATATATATCGAAAGTAAGCCTATGTCACAATTCTATCTTTTAATTAAACGTTCTAATAGTCGGCGTATTCTAAAAAAGTTTGTAATAAGAAAGGAGATGGCCGCGAAAGTTTTCATTCGCCAAAATCCGTTAAACTGCTTAATAAAGTCAGACTAAATTTTACGACACCCTAGATTTAAAAACGTTTAATCAATCGCTTTAATGACATTTTAAGCATCATTTTCTATAATTACCAACTAAAAAATACAATTTTCGACAGTTAGAAATGTTTTAATGCCTTGTTAAGATAGGACATTTCGTTTGTCCTTTATGTTTGAGTTCATTTAGGTATATTGAGGTTTATACCACGAAATAGTGACCATACATAGGTTGCTATTATTGATATAATCTCATGGGCTTGCTTGTTTCTCTAAATTCTTAGTAAGTACAATATTAATGGTTGACAATTTAATGACTAATTTGTAATATTGTAGAAAAAAATCAGTTTCAGGATAAGACTACTTAGCATAGATTTATCCCACAAGTACAGATTATTCACTTTTTGCTCTACTTTTCGTTATAGATTTTACCCACAGGTTCACTTGCGTTGATGTCCTATATAGGCATCAAAGATCATCGACGACTATATAAAACCCCTCTTTCTATCCATCGGGCAATTTTTTTTTCTGGATAACAATATCCTATGTCTTTCTCTGCATCTCTGATAATGTGTGTACAAAATTTCATGACGGTCGATTGAGTAGTTAAAGTGTGAAATCGTAACAAACAAACAAACACATTCGCAATTACAATATTAGTTAGGATTAGTACATTAACGACGAATTGTATTATTTATAATAATAATAATTAAAGTGAAGCGACAAAATACTGCGTACAATATAGCATTTTCTTAATAGTATTAAGGCTACCTATGGTTTCCATTCCTTTTCCTATTTCAAATTTTCACGTATAGGCAGCGATGATTACTAGAGTTGTAAAAGTTTTATTAATTATAAAATCACATCAACGTTTCGTCTGCTCTATCGTTACTCTTTTTTTATTAGATTCAAATTGTTAGATTACGATTAAAAATAAAAATAAAACAGGCGTGTCGATATATAAATAGTTCGTTCGTTACGGGTATCGAGTAATTACATATTTGTAGTTATGCTATAAGGTACTGGTTTTTGTCAAATTTCATTATTCTAGGTCAACGGAAAGTGCCCTACAGGTTTTAGTTCCCTTCCGAGTGTCAATAAGCATAAACGGCCGTATCTTTTGATTGTGTTGACTTAGAAATTTGATTTCTTCACAGCTCCAAGGGATTGCAGACTTGATAAGTATTAATTTCAACTTGATACCTCCACGAGTTTCTGATAAAAAAGTCTTGACAGACAGATAGACGGGCAGTCGGACAAGGAACTGATCCTTTAACGGTTCCTTTCTTCCTTTTGAAGTACGGAACCCTAAAAATGAACCCGATTTCCTTTTAAAACTACTAACGAAACAATGCGATCATTTATTTGAATGCATTTCTATTTTAAACATCAACCTAATCCGAAAACCAATTATAATCACGTATCGTAATATGCAAAACTGCACGAAACTGCTTTATTTCCATTGCCTTTACTTAATGTCACCTCATCTCTTACCTTAATCTGTTAATCTTCTAATAAAACGCCTTACGTCTTTTCTTATCATTTCATATTAAGAGAAAAAGTAAATTGTCGCATCTTTCGAAATAGAATGCTAATTAAATAAAAGAGGCAGACTGACAAAAATCCTCGCAACTCCTTATCTAAGTTGCCGCTGTAAAATTAACATCTTCAAACAGATATGGACCTGTGATAATGAAAACTATTGCAGCTACATTAAAGTCAATATAGCCACACATGTTAATAGATACATACGAATGTACCGCACGAGATAGGGTAAGATGTTGTAGTAGCAACAATAAGGCAGTTATCAACCCTGCGCGCAATCGGCTTCACTCTCAACCTGGAAATTTATTAGAAACTCAAGTTACTTCAGCGGACACGAATCTATGTATGTGATCTATGATCTAATCGCAAGTGTTACAAGTTTATACACAGTGCAGTGCAAGTAAACCGTTGTTGTCTGAAGCATCAGAAGTATCACTTTTGGATATTACTTTTTCAAAACTCCTCTATCGTCTCATACTTACCATTATTTTAATATAATTTAACCAACGATAAACCATTTATTTACCGCAAATGTAAGTATAAGTGGATTTTAATTTTGTGTTTGTAATATCCAACAAAATCACAACATCAACTGTTCCTTAAACTGTATTTTAGCACACATTCAAAGCTGTTTAGTCTAATTTTATTTGATATGCTAATTTTAGCGCCTTCACACATTTCTTGATTGTACAGTTTATTAGAATAATTATCTGCGAACGAAAAGATTTTGCGATTTAATGAAATATAGTTACGCAATATCTTACTGAAATATGCGTAATACCTAACTTATTTTTACGAAAAAAAGATTGTCAAAGTACACTGAAGCTTTCCCGTATATAAAATAAAATAAAAATAATCATAAACTTATTATTACTCTTCAATATGCTAATAAAAAAGTTATTTCCGTAGTTCATATAAGCCGAATATTCGTTTATAGTATTTAAATTATAAATAACCAAAGAGAACATTATAATCAAAAATTAGGTACAGTCAAAAACTACTGAAATAATTATTTCAATTATCTGCGAAAAATCATATTTCGTAATTGTATGTGTAGGTAAATAATTAAAAATATTTAATTAATAAGTGCGCTGTTTACTATTTGGTACTTAATAAAGATTTGGCACTGCAATTAAGCATTAAAACCAACAATTAAATGTTAAAGCGAATGTTGTAAATACAGGTATAAATATTTAAAATACACTTTTAGCGTGTAGACAATAAGGTAATTCAAAGTGGACAACAAGAAAAATAGCTTTCCTGAACTTGTAAAAAATATTTAACAGCGACACGTATTTTGTCACTGTAATCTCTTTCTATCGAGGAAAGTTTTGTTAGAAGCCAGTTTTTTTTTTGTCGAGAGTCGACCCTTTTTCCTTTTACTTTGTTTATTTAAGGGCTGTAGGTATATGTATAATCCTTAGCAAGCTCAAGTCTCTTTTTAACATCCCTATTTAGTGCAAAAGTATAATCACACTTCTGTATTATTTAAAATACAAATTGCATTTGAATTCATTATCCTAAAAGCAATAAAACATAAATAATTGTTTCATCAGTTATATGAAAAGCGCAATTTAACAGATTTTAGTACTAATGTGCCTATTAGTTGATCTTAACTGAAACAAAGCTGATGCTAGCAAAAGTTTGCAGTTTTTGTGACGATCTCTATGAAATGGAAACACAACCACCCTAATCGAAGTTTAAAACACTTCTAATTAATAATATTAATGGATAACTGTCATTGTGACAATATATATTATTTACTATTTAGGAAAATGTTTCCTAACACTAAATTATTTTAGTCTCTTAACAATTAAATAAACAATTTTACCTCAACGTCTAAAAATAAATAACTAAATATTTTTTAATTAAGGTATTGACTCTTTTAATTAGGAAAGCACTTAAGAAATTATTCAAATGAATTAAAAGAGGGTTGTTAATTTTGGAAAGCATTTTTCAATTAGTTTGATTGTTTATTCTTATTGTCCATCTGATCTTGTATGAAGAACATCTTAATTTACTTCGTTCGGTTTGATACACAGAAACTTTTTTAGCCATCTATTTATAGATAATTACTTTGACGCAAACAGCAAACTTTAATTTTTGATAAGAACCTACAAAAAACCGAATTGGAACAACTTTAGCTAAGAATACGAAGCTCTTAGCTGGACTACATCTGACTTCAAACATCTGTAAAACACTAACGTTGATAAACTTTCTAACAATAGAGACGAAACGTTGGTATCTTGAAAACTAAGCGAGATATTAAAAAATTTTATTCTTCATTTTCATCTTATTTTGAGCTGTACATAGTCAAATTTCCAAAGTAATCGTACTCGTCCACGAATAATGATTTTTTACCCCTCTTGGCGATCATTGTTAGACTTTTTTCGAAACAGTTGTCCTGTACAGTAAAGTAATGTTTCGAGTTATGTTTGTTATGGTTATTCATTTACATTAACAATAATCAACTACATTGAACTGCTGCCGTCTACAGACTGTTTCCGGCTTAGGATCAAATACCTCGAAATAAAAAATTTGACGGTAAAGCAGAAACTTCCCCTTAACATGAATTTTTTGTAACCCAAGCATAATTGATTACGTTTAAGAGGTTCCAGTTAGGGAAGTTTGACTGTAATTATGTTCCATCTCTTTTACAAGCATAAATAAAGAATTACTTACAATTATATGCATCAAAATTTCCTTTAAGTCACAAACTTATACTTACTGAACCACCTATAAAATTAATAAACTTTTCCATAATAAACAGATTCTGAATTGATACACCACAAATAGAGAATAGGAGACCGCGATAATTAAATGAATGAAAAAAGTGACACCCCAATTTACCCCAACGGGCTTTTCTTATCGGACACGTGTTTCGTCTACCTCTTTCGTGGGCATTTACAACGCGAGTTAATGCCAACATATGAAGTGGGCGAAACACGTGTCCGCTCGGAAAAGTTTAAATGTTAGAGTAGGTAAAAAGTATATTACGAGGGTGGATTGATAAGTTTCCGGCCTAACCAAGAGATGACGCCACTAGGCCTACCTTGAGGTNTGCAACACCAACTTGAAATCACTTTTCGATTTTGACCTACTATAAATTTCCTCAAATTAATAAGGAAAATATTTTTGTTGTTGTTGTCACCCCCCCGCCGGGAATCGAACCCGGGACCTTTGGCTTTACGCACCAATACTCTGACCAACTAAGCTACAAGAGATGACAACAGCAACCACGACAAACCTGGCCTACTACGTTAACGATCTGTCGACTTTTATTATTAACGTAATTATAAGTATATACAAGTATATGAAACTTAAGACATTATGTCTTAATTTGAGGAAATTTATAGTAGGTCAAAATCGAAAAGTGATTTCAAGTTGGTGTTGCATAGTTTCTGCGTTGCTCTTAATATTCTCGTCGACCTCTTTATTTTCGTACGTCTCTATTTTGGACCCATTCATTTTCTCAGACTTGTTTTCTTCATTCTTTTCTTCAGACTGAGGAGTTGCACCAGAATTAGTTTTTCCTCTAGTTCTTAGCATAATGGCTTCAACCCTCTTTCGCCTAGCTTCCCTTTCTTTCTCTTCATTTTTAAGTTCAGCTTTCTGCCTTTCTGCTTCTTCTCTTGCTTTCCGTTCGGCTTCTTCTTTTAATAACCTCATCAGTCTCTGTTCTTCCTCCTTTCTTTGATTTTCTTCTTCTGCACATTTCTGTGCTGTTAGAGTGTATATCGGAAATAACGAGCAACGAATTGTTTCGATATTGATGGAATTTCATTTATTTTGTATAGTAAATCAGCATTGCAAATATTTAAGTTTTGCATCTAAATCTAAAATTTTGGTATGTAACTGAATTTGCATGCTTGGTCAAGGAAAATGTCAAAGGGTCAGTAGTTGCAAGCGCAGTGCTAAACTGTCAACGGCATCTACTATAATCGAAGGCACTGTTTACCGTAAATATACATTATTATTATTTATCATGTATATGTAATATGTAGATAGAAGCATGACTTCATAAACACGTCATTAAAAGTTATTTTCATCCTTACCTTTGTGTCATGCATTATCCCTATTAATATTATAATAGTCCAATCGGTAGAGAAATTTCCTGACATAAATTTTACGATTTTTCGGATTTGTGCAATAACTAATTAACAAAATTAATCGGACCGCGGCTCAAATTAAAGGTTTTTAATTTTTCTACAGTTTGTATTTGAAGCTTATTATTCTAAAAAGCATGGCTTGCCTTCTAGACTTAATTTCCAATTTTGGACATCCCCCCTTTTGTTAACGGACACTTTTTTGAGGTTTAAAAATGTACAGGAATGCTTGACTATTCCCCTGCTATAACGAGGAACAACTCCCGTCCGTAACAAATTTATGTAGGGAAAATTCTCTACCGACTGGACTATAAATGCCAATATGAGTTTATTTGTTTGTTTGCTACCATTTCACGCTTTAACTACTTAACCAATCATCATGAAATTTTGTAAACATATTATCAGGAAAACAGAAAAGGACATAGGGTAATTTTTATTCAGAAAGGGGACTGTTCTCGAGGGATAGAAAAAGGAGTTTTATGTAGTCGTCGGTGATCTTTGATACGTATTTAAGACATCAACGCGAGCAAAGCCGCTGGTAAAACCTCATAAAATTTTGGACACACATTATCGGGGGTACATAAAAGAACATGGAGTACTTTTAATCCAGAAAAAAATACTGTTCCCAAGGGACAGAAAAATTAATTGTATGTGGTTTTCGATGATTTGACGCGCATTTAGGACATTAACGCCAATGAAACCGCGGGTAAAGCCTGTCATGAAATTTTGTACACACATTCCCGAGATAACAATGATCAGTCTCTCAGAATCTCTGAAAGCGAGACTCGAGTCTCCGTCTTTCATCGAGTTTTTCTGGTGTCGCTGAGAGACTGTCAAAGGAATTGTTTAGCATCTCTGAAAGAGAGACTCGAGTCGCTCATAGAGAGATCCTCATTTCGTATCCAGTCTCTGAACAAGAGATTCGAATCTCTGAACGAGAGACTCGAATCTCTCAATAAGTGGTGTCTCGAAAGACATGATTAAAATTTTCTAAGTTCAACATATTTCAGAGATCCTAGTCTCTCTACGAGAGACTCGAGTCTCTCAATTGTTCAGTTTTATTCATTCAGTCTCTCTGTGAGAGTCTCGAATCTCTGAATTAACAATTTTATCGTTCGAGTCTCTCATACTGAGACTGTGAGAGATCCATAAAAACACCTAGGAAATAACTGAGAGACTGTGAGAGACGCTCTCAGAAACGCTGAAAGACTCTGAGAGACTGGAGAGAGACTGAAAATTTTTTTCCAGGGTTATTGGGGATATAGAAATAAACACAGGGCACCTTTTATCCAGAAAAAAAACTGTTCGCAAGGGATAGAAAAAATCATTTTTATGTAGACGTCGATGAACTTTGACCCGTGTTTAGAATAACAATGCGAGCTAAGCCACGCGTAATACCTAGTTACTATATAATTCTCTCGCCATCG